GTTAATTCCTTAGTGATGTGGACACAGAGGAACTTAAAGCTCTCGAACCGCTTCACTACAGCCCCGTCGATGTGGATGGGGGCGTGCTCGGCCCTCCGTTTCCTGTAGTCCACAATCAGCTCCTTTGTCTTGCTGATGTTGAGGGAGAGGTTGTTGTCCTGGCACCACACTGCCAGGTAACTGACCTCCTCTCTATAGGCTGTCTCATCGTCGTCTGCAATCAGGCCTACCACCACTGTGTCGTCAGCAAACTTAACGATGGTGTTGGAGTCATGTGCGGCCACGCAGTTGTGGGTGAACAGGGAGTACAAGAGGAGACTAAGCACGCACCCCAGAGGGGTCCCCGTGTTGAGGGTCAGCGTGGCAGATGTGTTGTTGCCTACCCTCACTACCTGGGGGCGGCCCGTCAGAAAGTCCAGGATCCAGTTGCAGAGGGAGGTGTTCAGTCCCAGGGTCCTGAGCTTAGTGATGAGCTTGGAAGGCACTATGGTGTTGAATGCAATGAACAGTATTCCCACATAGGTTGAAGTTGCCAGGGTCAGAGTAGAACAGAAGGTGAGATTGCCAGGGTCAGAGTAGAACAGAAGGTGTATGCTGAGGCAGTGAAGAGAGTGGAGGATGATGGGTCAAGGGTGAGTAGTAAGCCTAGGCCAATACAGAGTGAAATTAATTTGTGCTTCAGTAAGGTTGGCTTCTTAGCATTCATTGCCATGGTTATAAGCTGTACTGCAAAAATGGAACTTAAATTACAGAAAATAGATGTTGTGGTGGCAGCTGCAGAGAAGTACTTGACTGTACAAGGTTTTACTGCAGAAGAGTTACAAGATGTGTTGAATGAGAGTCCCATCCTCCCAAACCGTCGGCCTGGTAGGATCATTAGGGTCAAGGTAATGGAATGGGGTGATTTACATTTTTATTTAATAGTGGTATATAGGCAGAGGGTTAGTTGGTGGTATGTAATAGTGGTATATAGGCGGAGGGTTAGTAGGTGGTATGTAATAGTGGTATATAGGCGGAGGGTTAGTGGGTGGTATGTAATAGTGGTATATAGGCGGAGGGTTAGTGGGTGGTATGTAATAGTGGTATATAGGCGGAGGGTTAGTGGGTGGTATGTAATAGTGGTATATAGGCGGAGGGTTAGTGGGTGGTATGTAATAGTGGTATATAGGCGGAGGGTTAGTGGGTGGTATGTAATAGTGGTGGATATAGGCGGAGGGTTAGTGGGTGGTATGTAATAGCGGTGTTGTTGTATACAGGCGGAGGGTTAGTGGGTGGTATGTAACGTGGTATGATAGGGGGGGGTAGTGGGTGGTATGTAATAGCGGTATATAGGCGGAGGGTTAGTGGGTGGTATGTAATAGCGGTATATAGGCGGAGGGTTAGTGGGTGGTATGTAATAGTGGTATATAGGCGGAGGGTTAGTGGGTGGTATGTAATAGTGGTATATAGGCGGAGGGTTAGTGGGTGGTATGTAATAGTGGTATATAGGCGGAGGGTTAGTGGGTGGTATGTAATAGCGGTATATAGGCGGAGGGTTAGTGGGTGGTATGTAATAGTGGTATATAGTTGGAGGGTTTTTATTTTTGTATGAAGAATTTAACACGATTGACCACACACTACCGCACAGTAGGTGGTGGCATGCACAAACTAAATGTGCGAATGCCATGATACCAAAGAAGAAGAAGAAAGCGAGGTAGGTAAATGCAAGGAGTAGCTTTAATGCTTCTATAGGAAATGTTCAAATAAATGAAGTTTGCTTCAAATGAAGATGTTTATAACAGATTTATCCAATGGCATTGAGGAGTATACCACCTCAGTCACTGGCTTCATCAATAAGTGCATCAACGACGTTGTCCTCACAGTGACCATACGTACATATCCCAACCAAAACCAAGGATTACAGGCAACATCCGCACCGAGCTAAAGGCTAGAGCTGCCGCTTTCAAGGAGCAGGACACTAATCCGGACACTTATAAGAAATCCCGCTATGCCCTCAGACGAACCATCAAACAGGGAAAGCGTCAATACAGGACTAAGATTGAATCCTACTACACCAGCTCTGACGTTCGTCGGATGTGGCAGGGCTTGCAAACTATTACGGACTACAAAGGGAAACCCAGCCGCAAGCTGCCCAGTGACGCGAGCCTATCAGACGAGCTAAATGCCTTTTATGCTCGCTTCGAGGCAAGCAACACTGAAGCATGCATGAGAGCACCAGCTGTTCCGGACGACTGTGTGATCACGCTCTCTGTAGCCGATGTGAGCAAGACCTTTAAACAGGTCAACATTGACAGACGGATTACCAGGACGTATACTCTGAGCATGCGCAGACCAACTGGCAAGTGTCTTCACTGACATTTTCAACCTCTCCCTGACCGAGTCTGTAATACTACATGTTTCAAGCAGACCACCATGGTCCTTGTGCCCAAGAAAGCAAAGGTAACCTGCCTAAATGACTACCGAACCGTAGCACTCACGTCGGTAGCCATGAAGTGCTTTGAATGGCTGGTCATGGCTCACATCAACACCATCATCCCGGAAATGCTAGACCCACTCCAATTCGCATACCGCCCCAACAGATCCACAGATGATGCAATCTCAATCGCACTCCACACTGCCCTTTCCCAACTGGACAAAATGAACACCTATGTGAGAATGCTGTTCATTGACTAAAGCTCAGTGTTCAACACCATAGTGCCCACAAAGCTCATCACTAAGCTAAGGACCCTGGGACTAAACACCTCCCTCTGCAACTGGATCCTGGACTTCATGACGGGCCGCCCCCAGGTGGTAAGGGTAGGCAACAACACATCTGCCACACTGATTCTCAACATGTGGGCCCCTCAGGGGTGTGTGCTTAGTCCCCTCCTGTACTCCCATGTTCCCCCACGACTACGTGGCCAAGCACGACTCCAACACCATCATTAAGTTTGCTGACGACACAGCAGTGGTATGCCTGATCACCCGACAATGATGAGACAGCCTATAGGGAGGAGGTCAGAGACCTGGCAGTGTGGTGCCAGGACAACAACCTCTCCCTCAATGTGAGCAAGACAAAGGAGCTGATCGTGGACTACAGGAAAAGGAGGGCCAAACACGCCCCTATTCACATCGACGGGACTGTAGTGGAGCGGGTCGAGAGTTTCAAGTTAATTGGTGTCCACATCACTAACAAACTATCATGGTCCAAACACACTAAGACAGTTGTGAAGAGGGCACGACAACACCTTTTCCCCCTCAGGAGACTGAAAAGATTTGGCATGGGTTCCCAGATCCTCAAAAAGTTATACAGCTGCACCATCGACAGCATCCTGACCGGTTGCATCACCGCCTGGTATGGCAACTGCTCGGCATCTAACCATAAGGCTCTACAGAGGGTAATGCGTACGGCCCAGTACATCACTGGGGCCAAGCTTCCTGCCATCCAGGACCTATATACCAGGCGGTGTCAGAGGAAGGCCCAAAAAATGGTCAAAGACTCAAGTCACCCAAGTCATAGACTGTTCTCTCTGCTACCGCACGGCAAGCGGTACCGGAGTGCGAAGTCTAGGTCCAAAAGGCTCCTTAACAGCTTCTACCCCCAAGCCATAAGACTGCTGAACAATTAATCAAATGCATAGTCAATTAATCTTTGCATAATCACTTTACCCCTACCTACATGTACAAATTACCTCGACTAACCTGTGCCCCGGCACATTGACTCGGTACCAGTACCCCCTGTATATAGCCTCGTTATTGTTATTTTATTGTGTTACTTTTTAGTTTATTTCTAACTTTAGTTTATTTAGTAAATATTTTCTTAACTCTATTTCTTGAACTGCATTGTTGGTTAAGGGCTTGTAAGTAAGGATTTCACGGTAAGGTCTACAGCTGTTGTATTCGGCGCATGTGACAAATACAATTTGATTTGAAATTGTTGCATGTTGCGTTTATATTTTTGTTCACGATAATATACATTCCTGAGATCCCACTCTGGAACTTTGATACGCCCGTAGAGTATATTATGTTCAACAATATATTGACACAAATTGTGTAATTTCTATATTCATGATTATATATTTTCAATATTCATCAATGAATGCAAAAAAACATATGAAATCAAAACACTACTCATAATTACAGAGCAAGAGGTAAAACTTAATGACACCAACTATTGCTCTGTAGTACCTACATATTAAACATGATGGAGTCTTAAAGGAGGCATGGGTAAGGCCAAAATGTCACAAATATTCCAACTTAAATTAATTATTTCTCAACACACATTCCGAAGTTTATGTTGACGATATAACTAAAGTTCAAACATTTATTTGTCATGTTGATAAAAAAAAGTATAATATCTTAGCTCCCATCATCATGCCAATGAAAACCTAATCTGTTATAATTATTTTAGTTAGTTAGAATTTACAGTGAAAACTGAATTTACATATAATACTTGAGAAGAAGAGGCGAAGCGAGAGGGTTAGCTATCTCTCGCCTAAATCTGTTCAAAATAAACCCAGTGCGTTTCTATGGGCTATGAGTTTAAGCATACCTACACTTATGGCGTTGTTAGGGCGGAGACATGAGCATCTCGTCATTATATACAGATTTCTGATTACTTCGATCAGTCCATGGGTGTATCTCAAATTATATTTCCTTGACTCTTCACATCCTTTCTCCATGTCTCTTTCTCAAAACACATTAGATGAGGTGAAGAGAGAAAACTGGAAGAACCATTAAGATAGAGTTGAGTTAAGATACATGTAACCGTTTCCGTAGTGTAGTGGTTATCACGTTCGCCTCACACGCGAAAGGTCCCCGGTTCGAAACCGGGCGGAAACATACTTTTAGCTCTAATGCGTATCAGTACACAATTCAGTGGTTTAATTTCTTCGGCCAACGTTACATTATCTAAAACATAGTGAAAATGCAGTCAGGAGAGATATTACAAAAGTAGCGAAACGAAAAGATCTGTTACAGAGCAGTCTCGCGAGATAGTCATCAACGTTACCATGACGATACTTTGTTGTTGTTCGGGCTATCACAGATGGATGTGTTTAGCCAGGCAGCATGCTAGCTGTTTACTTTTTCAAAAATAGTCCCCTTTCAGAAATCAGCTATATCTGTGCGTGGTAGCAATATTTCAGAATGGTAAGTACGTGTATTCTCTTTTCAACAATATAGTAAAGCGTTACAGTCAGACTCATTGTAGTGCAGTCTGGTGTGTGAAAGCCAGTGTGGTAACGTTAGCGTTTAGCTAACTGACGTTAGCTAGCAATGCTACTGTAATGTTAATCTAGCGTCATGAATACATGCAAGCCTGCATTGTAGCTAGCTAACGTAAACGGACTAAACTCCACTCAATGATAAAGGAAGTTTATAATTAACTTAACCACGGAGTGGAGCCGAGACCAGTCGGTGGTTGTATTTGATTAACGTTTATTGAAAAAGTGTGTATTTCAGCCATCAAAGAAAGGCACGCAATTTCTGAGGAAAAACATAGGTACATGGTGGGCGTCATTTTTGAACTAACGTTACTGTTAACGTTATTGACCTTGGGCGAATCGATGTAATGTTAGCTAGCTAGATTCCACAAAGGCTATTGATCAGAAACTTCCTTCACCATGGAGTGGAGTTTAATCCGCTACCTTTTATCTAGCTTGGTAGTTAGAAGTAACATTTTTAGATTTCGTTGCATTACAGCCACCCAAAAAGAAGGCCGCAGCCAAGTCTGCCAAAGGGAAGACGCCCACAGTAGTAGATGGCCTTTCCACGGAGGAGATGTCGAAGGAGCAGGTAGGTGTTATTTCATGCAACTCTACACATTAGCTACACTCAGATGCTCCATTACTAGTTCAGTGATAGCTAACTGTGCAAACATACATCGTGCAAACAAGTATTGTACTAGCTACTGAGCAGCAACTATACCAAATCAACCATTTGCTTGATAATCCATGGGTTATGCTGCATAGTATATGGTTATCTGAATCTACATGATGATGTTCTTTGTGTCAGCTGGAGGAGCACATTGTGCGGCTGCGGGAGGAGCTGGACAGAGAGAGGGAGGAGAGGAACTACTTCCAGCTGGAGAGGGACAAGATCCACACCTTCTGGGAGATCACCAAGAGACACCTGGACGAGAGGAAGGCAGACCTGCGGAACAGAGACCGGGAGATGGAAGAGGCTGAGGAGTGCCACCAAGTAGAGATCAAGGTATAGTACAGACACACAAACAGTGTTTAACCACATTATAATAATTATCAGGGTCCTTACTGTTACTGTTCTGTTCCTCAGGTGTACAAGCAGAAAGTGAAGCATCTGCTATATGAGCACCAGAACAGCATCTCAGAGCTGAAGGGAGAGGGCGTGGTCTCTACCAAGCTGATGCAGAAAGAGCACGCCGACCTGGAGAACGAGCTCTGCAAGGGCATGCGCACCCTCAAGGTGGACTTTAAGGAGCAGGAGCTCTCTAACGAGAACCTCGTCAAGGGCCTCAAACTGGTGCGTGGCCTCGTCTCTCTCTCTCTCTGTTAATATGAGCTTCTCACCACTCAAATCAATATTCTGCCATTCTATCAGATTTGCTTTCCACACATGTCTATGGTGACATTGCATTGATTGTAAATTCTTTCCATTTCTGTTTTAACAGAAAAACGACCAGGAAATTACCAAAACGAGAAATGACTTTGAGAGACAAGTGAGAGGTGATTATACCTGTACCTGTGTTGCCGTTAAACTGTACTCACATGCGTACATATACCCAAAATATGAAACATAGCCATCTCTCTCTGTCTATTGCTATTTGACTGACCTGCTGAGTAGAAATTGAGGCCAAGTATGAGAAGAAGATGCAGGTGCTGCGTCAGGAGCAGGACCTGAGGAGGAAGACAGAGATCCATGAGATCGAGGAGAGGAAGAACAGCCAGATCAACACGCTGATGAAGAACCACGAGAAGGCCTTCAGTGACATCAAGAACTACTACAACGACATCACCCTCAACAACCTGGCCCTCATTAACTCACTCAAGGTTAGCAATACCACAACAATATCAGCTAATAACTAAGGTATTTGTTCTACTCAATAACAGTAACCTAGGCCCAATCAACTGACTGAGGATTAGAAATTCCTCAACGTACTGTATCATCAAACCTAACCTAGGCCTCATCAACTCACAACTCACTTGTGTATTACAAGACGATATCACCAATGCACTGAGGGGTAATAGAGAGGTGCATGATTACTGATAGGGCCTGGTCTTTAGCAGAAGTGTTCACTGTGTGGTGTTCCTGACTGACAGTGGCCAGGGTTTGGAGCCCTGGAGGGCAAACTGTGTTTGTTACACTAACACTTCAATCCAATACAAGCTAGCAACCAGTTGGTTACATGGTCTGTGTTGTCTGTGTCAGGAACAAATGGAGGAAATGAAGAAGAAGGAGGAGCGTCTGGAGAAGGACATGGCAGAGGTGCTGCTGCAGAACAAGCGCTTGACAGAGCCCCTGCAGAGGGCCAAGGAGGAGGTGACCGAGCTGCAAAAACAACTGGGCAACTACGAGAAGGACAAGACCTCACTGGCGGTGGGTTACACACAGACACACACACACACATAAACACAGAATAGAATACATGATATCTGGTTATATGGTAATTAAACAGAAGATTTATAGCAACGAGCAACAATGTTGCAGTATGACAAATATGCATAAAAAAGATTCAAATAGCAACATGGAGAAGTAAAATTCCCTCAAATGTTCTATGATGAATAGTTTGTGTTGGGTGTATCTGAGAATGATAAAAAATGTAGTAGGGTACTTGGCAAAAGTAAACAGGAGTGATGGTGACTGTGCCTGTCTTGACAGGGGGCCAAAGCACGTCTGAAGGTCGCAGACAAGGAGATGAAAGACCTAAGGTGGGAACACGAAGTGCTAGAACAGAGGTTTAGTAAGGTGAGAAGCTACAATTACACACACACACGTACAAGCGTACACACACGCTCGCACACACACATGCACACAAACTCTGGTTTGTTATGAGAAAGGCTTTTGTCCTCACATGTTCCATAAACTGTTATCACTTGATTGACAACAGAAAGTTTAGCCTTTTCAAATTTGGGACAGAGAGAATCTGAGAAAATATCATGAACACAGTGCCAATTATTTAGGGTTAGAACTGAAAAGGCGTCTACACTGAAATCTGTGATCCAGTCTAATTAAAAAAAGGGGAGTTTTCCTACAATTGTTTCCTGTGACGTGATTACAGAGTTCAAGGATGAGTCCTTTTGCCCTGTGTACAGGTCTTTTTCTGAGACCACAGCACAAACCAACTACACAGACAGTTTATTGGGGTGACTAAAAACGTCCTAGTAACTGGACACTTTGCACCCATACAATGGCTACCCCATAAAATGGAACAGAATTGAATCGAATGTAATTCTATCAAATTGATCCATGCTTAATTGATCTGTGTTTCTAACTGAGCTGAGCCAACCCTTTTGTCTGTGTGGTGCAGGTCCAGGTGGAGCGTGATGACCTGTATAAAAAGTTCACCCAGGCCATCCAGGAGGTGCAGCAGAAGAGTGGCTTTAAGAACCTCCTGTTGGAGAGGAAACTGGGGGCTCTGACCAACACCCTGGAGAAGAAGGAAGCTCAGCTCAACGAGGTGCTGTCTGCCTCCAACCTGGACCACACCGCCCTCAGTGTGGTCACACGCAAACTGGAGGTATGCTACCCTCTCTGTGCTACCTAACCCTAACCCTAGCTTCATGTCCACATCCTGGTTCAGCCCTAACTCTCAACCACAACCCTAACCCTAACTGCAGCTTCATGTCCACATCCTAGTTCAACCCTAACCACAACCTTAACCACTCTGACTACAAACTCCATCATACCAAAAACGCTACCCTAGTACCCTACTCTCTTGTGTTGAGCTAACAGTAGAGTTGTGAAAACAACTAGCACCACACCTCATAAATCCTGCTTTGTGGTGGATACTGGATAAAGGCCAAGTTGTCATTCAAGATTAAAACAGAGAAGTGTTCTTAACAGAAAAATGTGATCTTCATTCCATCGTGTGAGTATGTTTGATGTTGCTAAGTCCTTGCTATCAGGTTTCTATACTCTACTGCCCTAGAAGCTGATAATCAAGTGGCTTCAACCACATCAAATTGCAAACCTTGCCTGTGAATGTAGTAACTGGAGGAAGCTTACGGTAGACTATTCTGCAGCCGAACAACTCTATTTGGTTTTTTTCTTGCAGGAAGTTTTGGACTCCAAGAACATCGCGATCAAAGACTTGCAGTATGAGTTGGTGCGGGTTTGTAAGGTGAGGACATTGGCGGAATACAATGCCTTTTGGGTCTGAACCCTATTTAGTTTTGTACATTAAAGGGAAAACTGCAGTATTATAACTATGTAATAGAATAACTAACCAATCCAAAATCAATACATTCTCATCTTTATAGACAAAAGTGATAATAGCGTCTGTCAATATACTGTAACTCTCTCTAAAAATGTTAACATCTCTGTCTGATGGGCAGGCCCATAATGACCTGCTGAGGACCTATGAGGCCAAGCTGCAGGCCTTTGGGATCCCTATGGAGGAGCTGGGCTTCAAGCCACTGGAGAGCAGTGTGGCTGGACACTCCCTGGGCCAGGGCCCCGCAGGCCTGGTGTCTGCCCCCACATGAGAGGCCCCCAGCCTGGGTTCAGAGACACAAACACTCCCCTGACCCACACAGACTATCACTTACTGCAGTGCTAATGTGACTCTTCTTTCTACCACTCGCTCTCTTTATTGTAACGTTTGATAGAAGTACTACTGAAGATCAACAGCAACTTCCTATTTGCGAAGATTAACTTGTCTTTTTCCATCACACTGTAAACATTTCCAAATAAAAATATTTCAAACAGTATCTCAGCTGCTGTATGTGTATATACGCACACATGGTGAATGAACAACAATATCTATGTTTTTATGCCGAGATGAGATCCATGTTGGTCCAGTCATCTCACTAAATGTGAAGGACAGGCAAAAACCTGCAACATAGGCACCAGGGTATGTAAGCATATCATCAGGACCATCAAACCCCAACTCTAACAGGATTTCCTGAATCTCACTGCCAACAAAGTTATTTTTCTGAGGAGCCTGCTATAGAGAGCAATAGTAATGGCGTCTTTTTGTAGGCAGTAATTCTAGCATGGTTCGTTGAACAAAGCCTATTGGAAAATGAATGGTGTTTTTGTAGAGTTTTTGGATTAATGCTAAAAATAAGGTCTGGTAAACACAGGTTTAGGAGATCTTATACGTTTTGTTCTACAAGATAATATTCATCAGCTAACATCACTTTTGTGAATTTTTAAGCATTTATGTAATAAATAAAAAAACACACATAAAGGCTTCATAATTCAAAAAGGTCACGTTAACTGACTGATATTATCTCATAGAACAAAACGTATAAGCGCTCATAAGCCTGTGTTTTCTTCAGACCTTATTTTCTGTGTTTATTCCAAAACCCTATTCTTTACCCATTCATTTTGCCCATAGGAATGGCTGAACGAACCAGAGGTAAATCATTTCCGCTTTTTAGGACTACAAGCTGGCGAGCTCTATACTACCAAAGACTGTGAGTACAGTATGTGATACTACTGGCTTTATTGACAAAGGAAAGAGGGGAAAAGTTCATTTTCCATTTTGCAGCCAAGTTTCACATTCAAATCAAATTTTATTTGTCACATGCTTCGTAAACAACAAGTGTAGACTAACAGTGAAATGCTTACTTACAACAATGCAGAGAGAAAAATATGAAAATCATAGAAAAATAACTCAAGGAATAAATACACAATGAGTAGGCTTAACTTGGCTATATACACAGGGTTCAAGTTTCTCATTTCAAGACACTTTTTAAAAAGTTTTCTCCCCAAGGGTTTTTACATGACATGTTATACTCTGATTTACAGTGAGGGAAAAAAGTATTTGATCCCCTGCTGATTTTGTACGTTTGCCCACTGACAAAGAAATTATCAGTCTATAATTTTAATGGTAGGTTTATTTGAACAGTGAGAGACAGAATAACAACAAAAAATCCAGAAAAACGCATGTCAAAAATTTTATAAATTGATTTGCATTTGAATGAGGGAAATAAGTATTTGACCCCCTCTCAATCAGAAAGATTTCTGGCTCCCAGGTGTCTTTTATACAGGTAACGAGCTGAGATTAGGAGCACACTCTTAAAGGGTGTGCTCTTAATCTCAGCTTGTTACCTGTATAAAAGACACCTGTCCACAGAAGCAATCAATCAATCAGATTCCAAACTCTCCACCATGGCCAAGACCAAAGAGCTCTCCAAGGATGTAAGGGACAAGATTGTAGACCTACACAAGGCTGGAATGGGCTACAAGACCATCGTCAAGCAGCTTGGTGAGAAGGTGACAACAGTTGGTGCGATTATTCGCAAATGGAAGAAACACAAAAGACCTGTGAATCTCCCTCGGCCTGGGGCTCCATGCAAGATCTCACCTCGTGGAGTTACAATGATCATGAGAACAGTGAGGAATCAGCCCAGAACTACACAGAGGATCTTGTCAATGATCTCAAGGCAGCTGGGACCATAGTCACCAAGAAAACAATTGGTAACACACTACGCCGTGAAGGACTGAAATCCTGCAGCGCCCGCAAGGTCCCCCTGCTCAAGAAAGCAGATATACAGGGCCGTTTGAAGTTTGCCAATGAACATCTGAATGATTCAGAGGAGATCTGGGTGAAAGTGTTGTGGTCAGATGAGACCAAAATGGAGCTCTTTGGCATCAACTCAACTCGCCGTGTTTGGAGGAGGAGGAATGCTGCCTATGACCCCAAGAACACCATCCCCACCGTCAAACATGGAGGTGGAAACATTATGCTTTGGGGGTGTTTTTCTGCTAAGGGGACAGGACAACTTCACTGCATCAAAGAGACGATGGACAGGGCCATGTACCGTCAAATCTTGGGTGAGAACCTCCTTCCCTCAGCCAGGGCATTGAAAATGGGTCGTGGATGGGTATTCCAGCATGACAATGACCCAAAACACACGGCCAAGGCAACAAAGGAGTGGCTCAAGAAGAAGCACATTAAGGTCCTGGAGTGGCCTAGCCAGTCTCCAGACCTTAATCCCATAGAAAATCTGTGGAGGGAGCTGAAGGTTCGAGTTGCCAAACGTCAGCCTCAAAACCGTAATGACTTGGAGAAGATCTGCAAAGAGGAGTGGAACAAAATCCCTCCTGAGATGTGTGCAAACCTGGTGGACAACTACAAGAAACGTCTGACCTCTGTGATTGCCAACAAGGGTTTTGCCACCAAGTACTAAGTCATGTTTTGCAGAGGGGTCAAATACTTATTTCCTTCATTAAAATGCAAATCAATTTATAACATTTTGACATGCGTTTTTCTGGATTTTTTTGTTGTTATTCTGTCTCTCACTGTTCAAATAAACCTACCATTAAACTTATAGACTGATCATGTTTTTGTCAGTGGGCAAACGTATAAAATCAGCAGGGGATCAAATACTTTTTTCCCTCACTGTAGCCACTGTTGGCTCTAGAAAATGTATCCTCCATATTTATTTATCTGACAGATAAACACGGCCCTTTAAAATAATTCAGAGTCAAAGATAGCTCTAACTCTTGGTTTTCTTCAGAGCTATCTGATCTCATTCAGATGAGATATCAGGCCTGGGCCAAAGCAAGGACAACTGACTCTGTAGTGGACTGGCAATCTTTTAGACAATTGAGAAACAGATGTACTATCTCAAGAAAGCTAAATCAAGCTACTATTTAAGTTCTATCTCTGACTCTGCTGGTGATCCTTCTACATTTTGGAAAACAATACATGGACTAAAGTGTACAAATTCCTCTTCTTCCTTGCCTAAGCAAGTTCTGTCTGATTCTGGCATCATAACTGAAAATAATGCTTTTAATCATCATTTTATCTCTGCAGGCTTTTTATTTGAGAGAAACAGTGATTTAATTGACCCTGGTCAGTCAATCAACTGCTCTTCCCTCTGCCAGCCTCTAGCTGACTCGATGGTAAACCTGTCAACTTCTAGTGAATCTTTGTTTTAATTTCAACAATTTACTATATGTGATGTGCTAGATGCCTTGCTTAAGATTTATGAAGCAAAAATAACGGGCTGATATGCTTGATACATTTTTGCTGCAGCTCTCTGCCCCCCGATTGCTGAATCATTAACCCATATTTTTAACCAAACTATGGCCCATTTCTATGGTATTAGGTAATATGTGTACATTAACTCTGCTGTTGTTATTATTGCACCACAGAATTATCATCTTTACAGAACCATACCCATGTACATACCCATGTTAATCTTCTCCTGTGTGTGATTATAGTTCCTGCTTTATTCCCCTCTAACCGGGGGCGGTGTCAGTGAGTCACAAACCAGTAAAATATGTAGAGCCGGGTCGCTCTTTCATGGTCCTTTGCCTCGCCGGATTTGTGACTTTTTCTGACACCACTATAATATGGCAGCCCACAGAGACTACACAGGGTACTTTCCGCACTGCCCACCTGCGGTCCAGTGGAGTATGGTTCCGGGGTATCCAGTGGACTACTACCATGTGGATTATACCCCCTCTCTGGAGCCTATGGGAACCCCACACCTGCCAACGGTGCAGCATGGATCCTATGTCCCCTCTCCTCCATCTGTGGGATACTATTCAGCATCAGGTGGGGCTTCAACTGAGACCAGGCAGGGACATGTCATGTCCTCGGCCCCCGCTGGTGCTCAGGAGTTGCCTTCTACGGAAACTGAGCCCACACCGTATTCTATTCCCGATCCCCCCTCCACTGCTGTGGAGTCTGGGGGAACCCTCTCCCCGGCTCGGGTGGCCTATGGGATTCCAGCAGCATCGCCACACGGTAGTGAGTCTATGTTGCTGACTGGACCCTGTTCCTCACCACCACCAGATCATCACCAGCTAAAATAACCCGGCGAGTCGTCACCAGCGGCAGAGGACCTGTCTGCCTCTGACTCTCTGCCTGTCCCTGCACTAGGGGACCCTCCAGCAGCACCAGACCTGTCTGCTGCTTAACCCGATGACCGGTCCAGCCATGGCCTGGGCCCATGGGGGGACCCAACCACAGCACTGACAGTGCAGCTTCACCTGACCTAGCCACAGCCCTGGATCCCGTTCTGTGTCCAGGATACCCCTGCCCAGCGTGCACCACCTGACCCAGCTCCCAACCTGTTCCTGCTGCCGCTGGACTCAACCCCTGACGTGATTGTGGGGGACACACCAGACCTCACTGGGGCCGACCACCCAGACTTCGCACTCCAGTGTCCTGTCCCAGGAGCTACCCATTCCTGCTCCTGGAATCCGAGCTGATCCACCATCTGCCCTGGACTCACCAGCACTGCCTCCTGATCTGACCCCTGGGTCTACCGTTGGGGCCTACTCTGGGGCTTGCCCTGGGCCTTCCTCTGGTTCCTGCACTGGGGGACTTGCATGCCTCAGTTGGGGAACCTCCGCTCCCCCCCCCACCCCCCCCACCCGCATGGACACCTTAAGCCCTCTGTCCTCTGGCTGTTCCTGACCTGCAGCTGATGGAGAGGCTGAATGGAGTAACTACATGGGGAGGCGGGGAGCACCACTACTGACATTCAGGCAGTGGAATCCTTTCTCTTTGTAAATATGCTGCACATATTTAGGGGTGGCTGTTACAGAATCCCCCTGCCGAGGGCGCTACAGGATGCTATATCACTGTTTGTGTGAGCGTTTGATTATTTGCTTTCTGGAGCCGCGCTGTCTGACACTCACCCATCCTCACCCTTTCTCCCCCTCACTTGGGAGATCAATCTCTCCTCCAGCTCATGGCTTCAGCCAATCAGACAATAGCTATGTGATTCACTCCTGTGCACGC